CAGACCATGCCTGGTCTCTCTGTTCATATCATTTATCCTTTAGATCAATATCAGTCTGAATATTCTTTAAACTAACTGACATGAAAAGGAACTGTTGTTTAACCATCCATAATTTGAGCCCGTAGGCCAGGGCTGTACCTCTATGCCCTGCCTGGTACTGACCCCACCTCCTGCCTCCTCTCCCTCACCACCAGTCAATCCTCATCCTAATGAATGCGGAGGGCAACCCTGAATAGGGAGAGGGGGGAAGAGATGTCAGGAGATGCCAACGTGCACCCTGAAGTGAGGACGAAGGCTGCGTGAATGTTGTAGCCTGACAGCCGGGCAGAGTGGCCCCCTGTTGCCATGGCGATGGAGGTGTGTTGACACGAAGTGTCTGCACAGCTCCTAGGATTTTTAACAGCAGCTGGGCAGAGCCTTGGTGTCCCTGAATTGCTGCCCCCCTGAGTCGCTTCTTGGCCCCAGCTGTCCTGATCCCTGTTGACAAATGGTTGTCCTTCACAGTCAAACTACTAACAGTACTCTAATTAATGAATGTGCTAATTATTCTTGCCTACTCCCTGCACATTTGTCTAACTAACCTGTCACACACAGATCAGTGCAGCATATGCATAATTACGGAGGGCACGTCGAGCAGGGGACGGGCGGGAGAGGGGTGGGCTCACAGCCCTGTCACTGTGGGACATTTCTTGTTAAATTACCTTTGTTAATGGTCAGATGTGGTGGGGATATGTTATTTCCCGTGCGGTGTACATGTCTTCCTTTCTTTCCTTTCTAAAAATCTCTCTTCGGGGCTGAGGAGCCATTGCATAGAGCTTTAGCCTGTGAGGGGACTGCCAGGCACAAATGCAGAAGGACCAGGGAGCCCCAGGTGCTGAAGACAACTCCAGTGGCAGTATGTAGGGTGGTTTAAACCCCAGACTTTAAAGCCATACCGGCCTGGGCTTAAACCCTTGTTCTGCTCCTTGCTATGTGGGTCTTTGCCTTGAACACATTTTTTTTTTTTTTTTTTAAGACAGGCTCTCCCTCTGTTGCCCAGGTTGGAGTGCAGTGTTGAAATCATAGCTCACTGAAGCCTCCATCTCCCCAGCCTCAAGCAATCCTCCTGCCTTGGCCCCGAGTAGCTGGGACTACTGGTCTGTGTCACCAGGCCTGGCTGATTTATATTTTATAGAGATGGGGGTCTTGCTATGTTGCCCAGACTGGTCTCCAACTCCTGGACGCAAGCCATCATCCTCTAGCCTCGGCCTCCAAAAGTGCTGGAGTGACCCACTGCGCCAGGCCCTTCACCACATTTTCGACCCCTCTGAACCTGAGTTTCACTTTCTGGGCAATGCTGGGGGACTAATTTGTCCCTGAGAGGGTTGCACTGAGGAGCAAATGTGAGGCTCTGGGTACAGTGCCCAGCACATCCTAGGTCCCCACGACACAGCACTCGGGATGCGGGAATCCGGGCAGGCAGGGCAGGCTGCGCTCCCTCCCTGGCTCTCCCAGTGCCCCTTGTCTTTTTGTTCTGTCTCAGCAGCTCTCTATTGAGATGAATGGCGTTTCCAGAGGCTTCACCTCTGATAAGTGTTCCTCTGCAGCTGCAGCCAGAATCTTAATGTGCGCGCTGTAATTTAATGGGCGTCTGGGCTATTAACACCCTCTCTCCGGGTGAAGGGGACTAGCTCCACTTCGGGGCCTCTGCACGTGGTCTGCGCGCCAGCTGGGGGTGACTCCAAGGAGCTCAGGGCGGGGTGCCCAGCACCTCTCACCAGGCGCCTTTGGATCTTCTAAAACGCCAGTGGCCGGACATTTCTCCCGTGTGGGGCCCTAGAAGACATGAGTCCCTGTGTCCCACGGAACCGGGAAGGTTTCCAGTGGTGGTGGGGGCTGACCAAGTTGGTCCCTGTGGGTGCTGTTTTCCGTGTGCCGGCAGATTGGGATGAGTTTTAAAGACAGAAGTGTGTGGGATAGAGAAACTTCTTTACAAACTGAACATTTTAATCTGTCCAATAAGTATTGGTCGGTCGAAGTGCAGCAGTAAATTTACCTCTCCCTCCCTCCTCCCAGATTTTCTTTGTGGGATTAGTCCCCCTCTGCCATATAACAATCGTGAGAACCACCAGGGTCTTCCTTCTCCTGCCATCTGGTTGACCTCTCCAAGAATGGACACTTGGCCAGCCTGGGCCAGTGAGGCAGTCCTGAGAGATGAGATGAGAGAAGTCAGGTGATGGAAGCTATAAAATGTACAACTCCAGAGTTGGCAAAGATGACTCCAGAAAACAGGTCTGCAGAGAGAATACATTTGACATGCTAGGAGTAGCTGAGAGAGAGCAAGAGGAGATATTAGAAGAAAGACAGAGACAGAGGTAGAGAGAAGGGGAAGAGAAAGGGACGAGAGAGAAAAAAGAGGGAACGGCGGGAGAGGGGTGGGGAGAGAGAACTCCATTTAAGAGTGCTACATTTAAAAGAGAGAGAGGCCGAGCCTGGTGGCTCGCACTTGTAATCCCAGCTCTTTGGGAGGCCAAGGTGTGCAGATCATGCGGTCAAGAGATCGAGACCATCCTGCTCAACATGGTGAAACCCCATCTCTACTAAAAATATGAAAAATTAGCGGGGCCTGGTGGCACGTGCCCGTAATCTCAGCTCCTTGGGAGGCTGAGGTAGGAGAATTGCTTGAACCTGGGAGTCAGAGGTTGCAGTGAGCGGAAATGGTTCCACTGCACTCCAGCCTGGCAATAGAGCGAGACTCTGTTTCCAAGAAAAAAAAAAAGAAAGAGAGAGAGAGAGAAAGCTCTCTAGCTCCAAGGCCTAACCACATCTCTGCTCTTTTCCCCTTGGGTTGTCAAATTTTTAGACTCTGAGTGAATACATTCTCCTTTTTGCCTAAGCTAGTTTGAGCTAAGTTTTTGTGGCTTGCAACTGGACTACTTTGGTAGGAGGGCTGCCTTCATTTCTGGTGCATTGTCACTAAGATGTGGTAAATGTTAGTAGGGCTAATTCTTTATGGGGTTCAAACTCCTTAGCTACCAAAACTTAAACATCCCCTGAAACTTACCAAACTGCTCTTGCAAGTGCTGAGCCCTAACCAATCTTCTAATAACTCTGTGGTAATTAATTTTTTGTCACATTGATTGAGCTAACAAATGCCCAGGTAGCTGGTAAAATGCTATTTCTGGGTGTGTTGTTGAGGGTGTTTCTGAAAGAGATCCGCACTGGACTCAGTGGACTGAGTAAAGAGGATCCACCCTCCCCAGTGTGGTGGGTGTCATCAATCCACCAAGGGCCTGAATAGAACAAAAAGTGGGCAGAAGGCCAAATTCCCTCTTCTTCTTGAACTGGACCATCTGTCTTCTCCTGCCTTTAGACACTGGAGTCCCCGGTTCTCCAGCTTTTAGATTCAGATGGGGTCTTGCACCATTGCCCTCCTTGATTATCAGGCCTTCGAATGCAGGCTGGTCTCCACCAGCGGCTTCCCTGAGTCCCAGCTTGCAGATGGCAAACCATGAAACTTCAGGGTCTCCATGATCATGTGAACCAATTTATTATAGATCTGCAGTATGCACATATATACAGGAGAAGATTTATTTATATACTGGTTCAGTTTCTCTGGAGAGCTTTGGCTAACATAGAGTGTGCACTCTACAAAGTGCCCCAGGTACTCGGGGAGTACCGAAGCGTGTCATGACCAGCCAGACTGCCCCGCTGCTGGCTTCCCCACATGCAACTCGGCACACTGCCTTCATCAGCCTTTCTCTTTCAGTTGAACCGAGGACACTCAAGCTGGCCTCTGGCACTGTACTCATGAGGGCGCGAGCTCTTCCCCTACACTGACCTCTTCCATGCCGAGATGCAGCCCTCCCTGCTGCCAGCAGTCACAGCGGTCCATGTTCTCATTCAAAGTGAAGTTTTGATAAAAGCACCTCTTACCCAATGCCAAATAACTGAGTCTGGGACAAAGATTGCAGATATTTTGCATTTTCCATGTGACCTCAGAGGGACTGCCATTCACACTGAGCTGAGCTGCAGAATACCAGGCAGCCACCTCGCCTACCCAGCAGTCCACTCTTACACTTTCTCAGAAAGCAGAGCCTCTCTACTCTGATTAAGTTGAAAAGAGTTTCAAGGGAGGTGTTTCTGCAATTGCCTCAGAAAAGCCAGTTGCAGTGTTTGACAATCCTTTGGAAATTTCCCTTAGGGATCGTCTGTAACTCCATTTCTGCCTTTTACCTAAATTCTTTGGTTTGAATTCTTTGGTTTAATTCATTAATTCCTTTTATCACTTTTCTCTGAAGAAATGGAGATATCAGCTGTCCCTTCCCACTGCCATTTAATTCTTCTTCATTCAAAGCTTACACAGCTGCTACTGAGAGCCCTTCTACGTGTTAAGTGTTCACTTTCTTTTTTCTTGGAATTCAAGGAAGGAAGGACAGTACTTGGGGCACAGATCTTTTGGTGTTCTATACATTTTTGTTAAAGTTTCATTTTACTTTTGTATGTATGTGTGTGTGAGACAGAGTCTTGCTCTGTTGCCCGGGCTGGAGTGCAGTGCCACAGTCATTGGTTCCCTGCAGCCTCAAAGTCCTGGGCTCAAGTGATCTCCCACCTCAGCCACCCAAAGTGCTAGGATTGCAGGCTTATGCCACCCTGCCTGCCTGACCTGAAAGTTTTGGTTTTTCTTTCCGTTCTTTCTCTTTGCTGAAGTCAGAGATGATGGCAGCTTCCAGATTCTCTGGTGCCTGTGCTGGGTCCATGCTGGTCATGGTCTTGGGTCCGAGGTTCATTCTGGAGGCTCTCAGGGAGGTTTCCCATGACAAGGAAGTGTGCTGACTTTGTCTGCTCCTCTGCCAAGCCCTGAGTCTCCTGGTAGATCACACTGAACCATAGCCAGGGCACTGTGGTGGCTAGTTTAAAAAAAAAAACAAGGAAGAATAGGCACTGTGTGATTGTGCTGGGAAGCTTCGGAAGTTCTAATGATGAAAGAGTGCAGCCTCTCACTTCCCCTTCCTGTGCAGGGCAGGTTGTGGAGCCGGAGCCAGAGCAGTCCTCTCCGGAGAGCCTGAAGCAAACATGGATCAAGAAACTGTAGGCAATGTTGTCCTGTTGGCCATTGTTACCCTCATCAGCGTGGTCCAGAATGGTAAGAAAAGTGCTTCACTCAGGGAAGAACAGAAGGGGAGATTTTGTTGATGGTTGTTTGGAAGTCAGGCTTGAGTAATTGTGTCTGTGTGTGCACCTGCACACACACTTTTACCTCATCTCTTTTCGCTTCTTTTTATTCAAATGTATAAGGCTATGTATATTTCTGTGTAAATTTGGGATTTTTCTCCTTTCCGTCTTTCCCTTTCGCGGTGATGACTAGTCCCATTTTTAGAGCCACGGCTGCAACTTGAAGGGTTTTGCTAAAACCCTTACAGAAGTGTCTATGAGCAGCATTTTAACTATGAATTAATGTGGCCGGGCAAGGGGTGGAAGGCAAGAAGACTGGAAAGGGACCATGATATACACTGTGACTCAGACACTGGGCTTCTCTGACATCCGCAGTGCAACTGAAGTTACCAGTCATCTGCAGACTAAAAAGAAAGTGATTTCGAAAGGCGTGTAGGAAAAATCATCTTACTATTTTTCCTCTATATTACTTTTGTTTTTCTTCTGAAGAAACATGATTTTTTTGGTAATACCATCTTCTTCTCTAGCAACGTATAATTTTGGAAGCTTTTTTATATACATTGCATACTTCTGAAAGAGAGAGAGAGAGAGAGGGAAATTGTCCTGTTTGGGGTTTGCATTTCCATTAATTCTGCTATCAGTTTAAAAAAAAAAAACCAAGCAGGATTTCTAGATGTGAAAAGGCAGGATTGTGTGAGCTGCCTCCCTAAAGTTCTGAGTTAGGACTGCCTCCGACCACTTTCTAAGTATCTTCAGTGGCTTTGTGTGTTTTAGATTTATTAAGATAGTGAAAAAAGGAGAGTAATTACTAAGGGCAGCTGCTGTAGCTCTGTGGTGATTACTGAACATTGACACGCTGTCACACTTTGGGATATTCTGCTATCTTCTCCCATCTCAAGTGTGGACAGACGCTGGCGATGTAGGCTTCTAGGCACAGAGCAAGGCTCCCCGTCGGCCTCCACCAGAGACGCCCAACTTTGCACACTCCAAGGATGTTTTCTATAAGAACTATACTTTGTGGCTTTCTGACCCAAACGTGTTTATACTAAATTACACACAACAGAACACCAGAGAGGCCCAACTTTGCACACTCCAAGTATGTTTTCTATAAGAACTATACTTTGTGGCTTTCTGACCCAAACATTTTTATACTAAATTACACACAACAGAGTTGTAGGTCAGAGAGGGAACAAATGGCTTATTTAGGCCCCCATTTCCTTGAGTCTTTATGATTTCACACAGGGCTCCCTTGGCCCTGTAAATTGGCAACTATTCCTTTATTCAACCTGCATACATGTACAGAGAGACCCTGCTCTGGGCCAGATAGTATTCTGGGTACAGGGGGATAGAGCAGGAACAAAACAGCTACAGTGATGAACAGGTCAGCCTGCAGCCACCCCTCCGGTCGCTGTGAAGGTAGCTGTATGGGTGGGCAGGTAGGCAGCACTTATTCAGCTCTGGGAGGGCCTCCGCTCTGGCCCTTCCCCTGATCCCTCCAATAAAGCTGAAGGGGATCGGTGGACAGGGGAGCTAGTGCCCCCTCACCTGCCTGTGCAGTTGGGGCTGAACCCAGCTACGAAGTTTGAGTTCACTCTCTCCAGCTCCCTCTTGATTCAGAGCTGAGCTGGGGGAAGCTTCAGATCTCTTTGTTTCGAGGACATCCTCACCCCTCCTAATGGAGGTGCACCAGGGAACTGCCCCTGCTCTGCCCATAGCTTTGTCCTGGCCTTTGCCGTCATGGTCTAGCAAACCCTGCTCAGACTGAGGTGGGTGGTGAGATTTCTAATTCTGTTGGATGCAGAGGATTAAGTCTTCTTCTGTGGGACAAGTGGGAGGTAGGGGTGAGATTAAAGATGACCAAATGTCTGAGTGCTGACAGCTGCAATCTGGAGGTCTGGACTTTTTAGAGACCACAGGGCACAGCGGCCCATGAACAGAGTTCTAGGAAGTGATGGGTTTGCTGGGGGATTCCTGGAGGGGGAGATACTAGCATGGACTAGCAGGGAGCTCATTTTCTGGGCTGGAGTGTGATGGCCTGCGTCACTGCCTCTGTTTCTCCTCTGTCACAGTTGCCCTCCTGGGAGCCAGGTGGGGCAATATGTGGTCAGAGTGACAGTTGTCCTGCCCCTGCTCAGGAAGGGAGTTTCTGTGGACATTTTGAAACCACAGAAGGGCCCCTTGTATACCTCTCAATGGAGGGGGCAAAACATTCAAATGATTCAGGCGGTAACACCACTATTTGTTTTTAACTAAGTTTTTAGGCAATCACAAAGATCCAGATGCATGTTCAAACTTCTCTTTGCAATTCTAATTAACCTCAATGTTGCAACCGTAGACCAACCTTACAGAGTTCAAAAAAATATGCAAAAACCCTGCCTTTCTTCTTCCTCATACCCCAAAATGCCATTCTGAACACTTCCTGTTAGTGAAAAAGATTTCCATGTTGTTACCAGGCACCATACAGTCTGTGTCCAGGACAACGCGGCACAGTTCCACATGCGCCTGTGGCCGGGTTGGGCTCTGCACGCTTTCTGCACTTTGAGAGACTGATTTTCTGTGACTGGGCAGAGCTGGCCCACCTGGTGCAATCAATGTCTTCCTCTACCTTTCCAACGTTCTTTAGTCGTCAGGATCTTCGAACTTGTAACCCTTTCCAACTTGATCCAGCAGAAAGCAGATTTGGAAAAACGGAACACATTTAAAATACATCTTTCTAAGAAACCTTTAGTTTCAGAACTATCAAAGCCTGCTTCCCCAGAGAACACAGATGTTACTGAGCAAATGGGCTCGTCGGCCAATACTACAGCACTGACTTTTGAGAAAAGAAAGGCTTTATTGCAAGGCTGGCCAGCAAGGTGACAGGAGTTGGGCTCAAATCTGTCTCCCCAGTTTGAGGCTTAGGGCAGGTTTTAATTAGATAGAGGCATTTCTTGTGAGCAGGAGGCAGAGAGCCTCCAACTTTTCCTGCCTAGCTGCCAGCAGCTTGGACTTGATGCAGACCTGGGAAGCACATACCGTATTTGGAGAAGGTGATTGGGAAGAAATGTGAACTGAGGGAGGGGCTCAGTGCCCCTGAGCTACACTTAGTGACGGTAGAGAAGGACGTCCTCCTGCAGGAGCTCAGTTCCGCGTCTGCTGCGGTTGTAAGGGAGCTGGCAGGCATTCTGCAGTGTCCTCTTTCCCCCAGGAGAGGCAGCCTCCTCTAAGTTTTGGAGACATTATGGCCCTGCAGTCATAATGGTCTGTGAGCTTGGTGCTAAGGAGGGAAATGGAGCTGCTGTTACTACTATTTCCACCCCAACACACACACACTCACAAGAAACCTCACAAGCACCGTATTGGAAGACTTTGCCATCCAACCCGGGGTTTGATAGGCTCGAGAAACAGAATCATAGACTCATGAAGTTACCCCAAAGCAGGAATCTTCCTTACAGTACCCATCCCCCAGTTGCTTCTTCCTGAACACAGCAGTGATGGGGAAACTCACAACCTTCCAAGCTTGCCTCTCCTATTGTTGCCTGGATTGAAAGCTTGCATTGTGTGAAGGACGGTGCTTCCTGCTTCCTGCTGTGCTTGGTATTATCTCATGTAATCTTTGCACCATTTAATCCTTGCACTCACCCACTCATGCCACTACTTTCGCAGAAACTGGAGATGTCACTGTAGGCTGACCTGTCCTTCACTGTGCCTGTTTTGATCCCTCCATTATTCTCCTGCACCCGGACACTGCTGAGCACAAAGACAGGTCTCTATGAGTAGATAATGAAATATATACTATTCTTCTTCTTATTGAGACAGACTTTCACTCTGCCCCGCAGGCTGGAGTTCAGTAGTGTGATCTCAGCTGACTGCAACCTCTGCCTCCTAGGCTCAAGTGGTCTTCATGTTTCAGCCTCATGGGTAGCTGGGACTACAGGCATGTGCCACCACGTCCGGGTAATTTTTGTCTTTTTAGTAGAGACAGGGTTTTGCCATGTTGGTCGGGTTGGCCTCAAACTCCTGACCTCAAGTGATCCTCTTGCCTAAGCCTCCCAAAGTGCTGGGATTACAAGCATGAGCCCAGCCTAGAAATATATACTATTATTTATTCCTGTTTTACAGATAAGCGAAGTGAGTCATGGAGAATTTGGACGATTGGTTGAAAGTCTCAAGGAGTCGTGAAGCTGGGATTAAAACCTAATCATCTGACTTTAGAGAATAGACACTTGCACCAGGCAGATTGCCTCCAATTCATTCATTCAAGCACTCACTGTTTAAGAAGTTCTTACGTTGAGCTGAAACCTGCAGCCCGATGCCTTTTACCCAGCAGTCCTGGTACTGTCCCCTAAAATCCCTCAGACTGTGCCTGCTCTTTCTGTGTTTATAGCGTCAACTGTAATGTCCCCTCTTCAGGCTATTGTTTCTGGAGTCCCTTGCCATTGGGTGACCTCTCCTCTTCCTGTGTTCTTTCTAAGAACACCTAGGCAGATAGGTGTCTTCTGCACTGGGAAGCCGTTCCTGAGATCCGGACACCAGCTCTGTTAGAATAATCTACGTACGAGTTGTTTTTTTGAGAACTGTGTGTCATTGCTGACTCATATTAACTCTGGGGTTAACTAAAATCTCCAGATCTTTGTATGTTTGTTGAGAAACATATTTGACTTCTCAGGCCCCCAGTTTCCTGCACTGAGCAGTAGAGTGATTGATAACCTCACATGTGGTTGCTAAAGGTTTTGCATGAGACGACACAGTTAAAGCAGCATGCAGTGCGCAGGTGCAGAAAGTGCCTCACAACGGTTTGCAGCCATCTCTCTGTGACTTTGTCTCTCTCTCACACTGGTTTTGGCTTACTCTTAGCAGCTGGCTGAGATTGGTATGTTCATGGTCTTTGCATGCATCATTTCCGTAAGATTCTGGAGGATCACAAGAGGTTGGGGAGTGAGGGGTGGTGAGGAGTAGACAAAGGCAGCCACCTCTTCCAAGTTTACCTTAGAAGGAAGGAGAGGTAGACCTTAGTGGAATGTTGGACTGAGGTGGGTTTGTTTTTGTTTTGTTTAAAGGGTAGGGAAGATCTGTGGGTGTTTCCAGGATAAAGAAAAGGAGAGAATAGGATATTAAGGATTCCGGAAGTGGGAGAAGGAGCAACGAAATACAGCCTTGAAGACAGTGCATGGACAGGGTCAAGATCACAGGTAGAGGGCACAGCCTTAGAGAAAAGGGAGAGGCTTGGTTCTCTGAGCAAGGAGGGAAAGAAGAGAGGCAGATGCAGAGAATTATAACCATGTTGTGCTGCTGATTGCAGAAATAATCTCTTTTTTTTTTTTGAGACAGTCTTGTTCTGTCACCCAGCCTGGAGTGAAATGGCACCATCTCTGCTCACTGCAACCTCCGCCTCCTGGGTTCAAGCAATTCTCCTGCCTCAGCCTCCCAAGTAGCTGGGATTACAGGTGTGCACCACCACACCTGGCTAATTTTTTATATTTTTAGTAGAGATGGGGTTTCACTGTGTTTACCAGGCTGATCTAGAACTTCTAATCTTGTGATTTGCCTGCATTGGCCTCCCAAAGTGCTGGAATTACAGGCATGACCCACTGCGCCTGGCCACCTCTGACTTTTAATACAGTCATCCCTTGGTATCCTGGGGGGTTGGTTCCAGGACCTTCCTCAGATGCCAAAATTCATGGATGCTCAAGTCCCTGATACAAAATGGCATAATATTTGCATTTAACCTACACACATCCTCCATATACTTTAAATAATCTCTAGATTGCTTGCTTTGTCTTTTTTTTTTTTTTCAGAGTTTCACTCTTGTCACCCAGGCTGGAGTGCAATGGTGCAATCTCAGCTCACTGCAACCTCCACCTTCTGGGTTCAAGCAATTCTCCTGCCTCAGCCTCCCAAGTAGCTGGGATTGCAGGTACCACCTCCCACCCCACCACACCTGGCTAATTTTTGTATTTTTAGTAGAGAAGGGGTGTCACCATGTTGGCCAGGCTGGTCTTGAACTCCCGACCTCAGGTGACCCACCTGCTTCCACCTCCCAAAGTGCTGGGATTACAGATGTGAGCCATTGGGTGTGACATATATTTCTTATAATACCTAATAGAATATAAATGCTATGTAAACAGTTGTTATACTATATAGTTAAAAAATAGTAAAAATGTATATGTGTTCAGTACAGACAAAATGTTTTTTTTTTTTTTTAATATTTTTGGTCAGTGGTTGGTTGACTTTAGGAATGCAGAGCCTGCAGATACAGAAGCATGAGTACATTAGTGCTGTTTATGTGTTCAGAGGCGGGGAGGACTATATTGGGTTCCGGAAAGAAAATGATCAGCATTTTCCGTCATACTCTGGTAAGAACAGATCTTTTGAATGGACAGGTGTATTAAACCCTGTGCAGCTGGTGGACTCCTGCAGGGAGCTTCATGGGGACAGCAATAGGGGAAACACATCCCCATGTGCCCCATGGATTTGAAGTCCCGGCTGCACTGCTCCCCAGCGGCGAGGTGACTGTGGGAAAGTTGCAGTGTTCTTACCTACAGAGTGGGGACAATACTAACCATTGCACAAAGTGGGTGCAAAGCTCAGTGATGGAATACGTGGCAAGTGCCCACCACGGTGCCTGGGATGAGGTGGGCCCTTCCTTTATGCAAGAGAGTCCTACAGATACATCCAAAGTGGCCACATTCCTACAGAAGGAGTGTTATTTGTGTCGAAAAGGAAAACATGAAAGGCTTTTATTCCTATACACAATTGAAAAAGCACCTTTTTAATGTCTTTTTGAGGAGCCTAATACAAAACTGACAAGAAGGAACCCTGTGGTTGGATCCCTGACCATCACATGTATCCCTTTTTTCACTCTTGAAAAGGAGTAAAGGGATAAAATAGAAGAGGAGACGAGGGAGAGAGACGTTCAGCCCCCATCATCCAATCTATAGTCAAATCTTCCAGTGTCTCCTTGGCATCTCTGACGCCCCCGCAGCCGCCACCCCAGTTGACTCCTATCTGGTCCCCTGATCCTGGACCTGACCCTGCTAAGTGCCTGCCACACTAAAGACAGGGTGGCTTTCTGATGACGACATTCCTCTGCTTAAACCTCTCAGTAATTCCTTGTTGCTCTCAGATGGAACTAAGTTCTGAATTTCTTCACACGACTCTCAGCAAGGTCACAGTTACTTTGCTCAGCCCCAGGGGCAAGCCTCAATGGCCACCTTCTTGAAGCCCTGGCTCAGTTACTACTTTCTCACTGAGGCTCAGGGCGCCCACTGTCTTGCATGCGTCAAACAGCCCCTTACCATGCTCTTCTTTGGCCCATAGCTGAGCACACGGTATTGTTTCCATTTATGTACTTTGCTTATTGTGGATGATCTGCTCCTCCTCTGCTGCCCTCGCCAGAGCATCAGTTCCTCGAACCAAGGCTCTTTGTTTGTTCTGTTCTCGGACGCAAGCTAAATGTCTGGCACATTGTGGCAAGTGCTCATCGATGCATGTCATTGAAAGAACGGTTCATCACTTCCCTCTTTGGCCTCGTCTGTGGTTCTGCTGAGTCACACTCCTTCCCCAGCGCCCTCCATTACCCCTCCCTGGCTGGACACTCTGAACCACAGGCACTTCTTTCTCCTGGACCTTTGCATATTCCGTTCTACTAGAGTAGAGCAGCCCCTCTCCCTCTCTCTGCTTGGCTAATTTCTATGTGTTCTTCAGATTTTATCTTAGGTGTCATTCCCCCTAGGAATCCTTCTGTGACCCGACATGGAATTAACTTGCCTCCTTTGACCCTGAAAGTGCCGTGGACTCACTCAATCTCGTCTTGGCAGATTTGGCATTGCCGTGCGGAACGTCTGCTTTCCTTGTTTGTCTATTCCTTTAGACTGGAAGACCCTGGAAAGCGGGGGCCGTGCCTTGCTCGTGACTGCATTTCCAACACCAAACACGGTGTTCAGTAGAGAGCAGCTGCCAAGTACATTTCTGCTAAATGACAGTTGATGGAGGACATTGAGGGCTGCCTGGAGGTCAAGTCAAGGAGGCATTGAACATTCTAGTAAAACAAGGAGGTAACAGGCCCCTGAACATGCCCACCGTGAATCAAATGCAAACCTCTTCCCTTGGCAGGATTCTTTGCCCATAAGGTGGAGCACGAAAGCAGGACCCAGAATGGGAGGAGCTTCCAGAGGACGGGAACACTGGCCTTTGAGCGGGTCTACACTGCCAAGTGAGTCCAAATCCTGATTTTGCTAACAGGGGGCATGGGCAGGGGGACCTCCTTCCAGGAATGATGACCGCCCTTAAGACCACATGTCGGTCTTCACTGAAGAGGCTTTGTGGACACCCTTCATCGTCTTAGTGAGTGCTAGCATTAAAAGAAAGGGAGTGGGGATGTAGGGCACGTTGGTGGAGGGAGGTGTGATCTCTGCAGTTTCAGAAAGATCTGAGACAGTCATTTGGTTAGAGAAGTTGACCTATTTCCTGTGGGGTTAGACCAGAGGTGCTACCATGAACGCCAGCCATGACTCACCAGTCGCCTTCAGAAGCCACAGGCAGGACACGCTGGTGACAGCCTTCAACTCACCCGCCCCCCGCTTTCCTGCAGGTGGAAGTCTGGAGGTGACACCAGTGCATTTCTAACACAGGGGCTCGTTGAGCAACTAGAACAAGGACAGAAAGAATGGGGACATTTTGCAGGTGCTTTCCCCCTCTCTCATTTGTTTCTTTGAATAAAAAGACTGTTTGAAAACACCCGAGTGGCTCCTAAAGATGGGTGCAATCTATTTGGGATGCAAATCCGAATGAACGTTATTCAAATGTTCATTTCTCCTTTAGGCAGAGTGCATTTCAAGGCTCAGCCAGTGGCAGGAGTGTTGGGGACTATGGACTACGGACTAGGGGCCTGCCACAGAGGAAGGCCTCATGCTAGGGAGCTAAGGGAGGAGCTGGCCCTCAGTCCCCGCCCAGGGTCAACTTTGATGCCCCCAGAGATCCTTCCAAAGGAGGAGTCATGGTCACCCAAGAAAAATGCATTCAGAATGCCAAGAATGGCACAAACTCAGGACAAAGATTCACACTGCAGGGTCAGAGTCCCTGGACCCGCTGCTGACACCATGGGAGCTGCTGGAAGGGAGGGTACCCTTCAGGGGCACCACTGGTTTTTGTGAATTAAACTGACTTCAAGGGATCTTGGCGAACAGGCCTACCTCACACTCACCGATATACTTTCTCTTCAGTCCTTCCCTTCATCTAGGTTTTTTTTTTTTTCGAGATGGAGTCTCGCTCTGCTGCCCAGGTTGGAGTGAAGTGGCATGATCTCGGCTCACTGCAACCTCCGCTTCCTGGGTTCAAGCAATTCTCCTGTCTCATCCTCTCTAGTAGCTGGGATTACAGGTGCACACCACCGCACCTGGCTAACTTGTATTTTTCACCATAGAGACAGGGTTTCACCAAGTTGGTCAGGCTGGTCTCAAACTCCTGACCTTGTGATCTGCTCACTTCAACCTCCCAAAGTGTTGGGATGACAGGCGTGAGCCACTGTGTCTGGACTTATCTAGGTACTTTTAATTTTTTTCAGTGAGGGGTAGGCCTGGGGAATTGGAGGGGACGGCTCCTCTGTTGCAGTTTTTCACTGGCTGCTTTGCTCCCTCAGCTCCTAAATTGCTGGGCCACTCTAGAACACATTGGCACGGTCCTCACAGTCTGAGTGCCTGGCCCCTTGCCCTCTTTGGGCATTTTCACTTTCAGACAGCCTCTGAGCGCTCACAGTGCTGCTTCTGCGGGCCACCTCCATCTGCCTCTTTCTCCATGTGCCCACCTGCTCTGGGCTCCACTCCCTTCTGCCAAGCCCTTCTGTCCAGGGTGATTGCAGCAGTCTGGGCTCAAGGAAATCCTTTGCTAAGCTGATTACAGAGAGGTTTCTATTTTAACATCTAGGCCTTCCATGTATTAATTCTCAGAATCAATTTAAGATGTTTAAAGGTGTGATTTAAGACATTTTAAAACCATTTGAAGGAGAGTACAGAAGCTACGTCGGTGGCTGTCAGCCTCTTTGCACCATTGGAGAGAGAGATACTAGAGCCCCACCTCGGACACATCCGCATGCAAGAGGTGCAAAGAAGGTGTCTTTGATGAGGCAAGGTCAGAACTTACCCCAAGACGCAATCTGAAGAAAGCATTCCTACTATGCTATACCAGTTTGGAAAGAGAAGCTTCTGCCCGGTGATTGCATTCTCATTGGTCACATTGCATTCCTGTGGACTCCTCGGCTCAACCGATTTGGAGAAGTTAACGGTGCAATTTCACGGGTGCAATATCTGGTTAGAAGTTAAGTTTCCATTTTGCCGGCAATGAAGAAGAAGTGGAGCAGGCCAGGCTGTGTTGTTTCTGCCACGTCCCCCCAGGATTGAGTAGCTCTGTTTCTAAGAAGCCATGGTGCTTAGACCTGGCCTTGCTGGTTGCCAGCCTCCAAATTGCAGAAGTGCCCTTTGGTTGGTGGCTGTGCTGTATTGTTTGGGAAGGTGGTTTGGAAGTTCTGCAGTCATTGTGGGGCTCCAGAGATAAAAAGCATGGGCATCCCCACTGCGGGCGTTGCAGCCCAGCTCTCAAAGCCCACGGGTCTGCACACTCAGTCTCCATGAGAGGGAAGGAGAAGGATGACGGAGGGAAGAGACAGCTGTGGAGAGGTAGGAACTAAGCGGGCAGGGTGGAGTGTTTTCTTTAAGATAAAAATTGTCTGGACCTTGCTGTGGTTCTGTTACAAAGACCACTTCCTCCCTGGGCCAGTATCTGTGTGCCTTTCTGGGTTGTAAAAAGGGCCAAAGATCAATGCAGCAGGCTGCAAAAACATGGTGCCAAAAGCCAGAGGCACCTGGTCTGTCTGCCTGTGCCAGGAAACCACTAGGAATGGGGTTATGTGTTATTCTAGGAGAAAGTCGTCCCAGCAGTAACTTCCCCAGGGGCATCCGAGAGCAGCAAAAAGGGTTGCAAGATGACCTGTGAGTCTGCAGGAAGAAAGGAACATGCATTGTATCTTGCTATCTGAAAAGTAAGAAATGAAGCTTTACTCATTTTTTATATATACATGGACGGTCGTTTGTGTATGTAGTTTATACACGAATATACCTGTTATAAGGTTGCATGCTCAAAACTTTTGGTTGATTGGGTGTGGGATCAGAAATGTTTAGTGACCATAGCTATCAAGGAAAAATGGCATGAAGGATAAATGACACTGATGGGTTAAAAGGCTGAATGCATGTATTTTTAGCATGAAATATGACTGTTGACTGATACAGATAGTTCAAGATTCTGGGGCAGCTGATGAGCAGATACCCCAGCCAGTGTGGCTCATCAGCTCAGACTTGGCCTTGATTGACGGGCTGTTCTTCCACCATTTCTCAATCATTTCTTCTTCCACCTGATTCTCAGGACAGAGCTGAGTCAGGGTTTGAGAGCTAAAAGGAATTGGACCTGGACTCTGTTCACATGTATATTTTAATATTTATTTATTTATTTGAGAGACAGAGTCACATTCTGTTGCCCGGGCTGGAGTGCAGTGGCACAATCTTGGCTCACTGCAACCTCCGCCTTCCAGGTTCAAGAGATTCTCCTGCCTTAGCTGGGATTACAGGCACCCACCACCATGCCTGGCTAATTTTTGTATTTTTAGTAGAGATAGGGTTTTGCCATGTTGGCCAGGCTGGTCTTGAACTCCTGATCCACCTGCTTGAGCCTCCCCAAATACTGGAATCATAGGTGTGAGCCATCACACCAGGACTGTTCATGTGTATTATACACAGTTTAATGCCCTCTTCCCAACTGATGAGCACAGCTAGAGCAGACTTGGTCAAAGTTCGGTTTTTGGAGAAAAATCCTAGTTAGCCGACCTACGATTCCTCTTTGTGAGTGTAAGTAAGCACAGGCTACAGAGAGAGAAGAGTCTCTGGAGAGGTGTAATTTCCTAAATGGATTACAAGTTCATGGACTTTTAACAGGTGTTACAGGAGATAACAAGTTCTTTTTAGACAGACTTTTGAGGATGTTTAAGGGCACTCTGATTTTTGGTTTTCTAAGAGGAGAATGTATTATTTAACTGTGGACACCCCCACCCCCCGCTTTCTGCAGTGTATCAAAACATGTTTTGGGAATACCACCCTACGTCGCTTCTCCCTACATCTCTCCATGTCTATTCTAGACTCACTTTCTTCTTCTTTTTTTTTTTTTTTTTTTTTGAGATGGAGTCTCACTCTATCACCCAGGCTGGAGTGCAGTGGTGTGATCTTGGCTCATTGCAACCTCTGCCTCCCAGGCTCAAGCAATTCTCATGCCTCAGCCTCCTGAGTAGCTGGGATTACAGGCATGTACCATCATGTCTGGCTAATTTTTGTAACTTTAGAATAGACAGGGTTTCACTATGTTGGCCAGGCTGGTCTGGAACTCCTGACCTCAGGTGATCTGCCCACCTCAGCCTCCCAAAGTGCTGGGATTACAGGCGTGAGTCACTGGTGCCCGGCCTAGGCTCACTTTCAAGTAGCATAGACTTGTAAAATTATTTAAAGGTGAGAGGTCTACAATGATCCCGTTAATTAGTATTGCCATTATTATTAATAAACTGTTGTTAATTATATTTACTTACTTTAAATTAATTCAAGCTAATTAACAGAACACTAAAGAGTTTCTACGTTTTATTCCCAGAGGTGGAGAAAAATAGCAACGAGTTCTTTTCTCCATAAAAACATGAATAGTGCAGTGTGTCAAGTTGACCATAGCACAGCAAACTGTTGCAAGATCTGCTGAGTAGCTCCTATTTAGACCTCAAGAAATGAAACTCAAAATGAGTTCATCAGTTCTGTTTTACAGAAAAAATGGTGCAAAATTTCTCAAAGAAAATCCAGAATAATAAGTTTGTCAGTAGGAAAGACATTTCCACTCGAGGTTAAGAAGGAAGACACGGGACCATAATAGCCAGCACTTTTGAATGCTTACTGTGAGCCACGCGGCACTTCATCTCGTTTCATTGGTAATTACTAATGTCTCCATCCACCTCTTGCAGATGAGCACATTGAGACTCAGTGAGGCTAGGAAATGCACCCACACTCACATAGCCCAAGAGAGGCAGCCATGGTATTGGACCCAGACCATGTGAACTTCAAAGACTACATGAGCAGCCACTGGGCATCTGCCATGGCTAAAGCCACTTGAATTCAGCCCAGCAGCGGCCCCTCTCCAGGAGGGACACATGAGCTTGCAGCTTTGGGTGGAAGCAGCACTTGAGGTCCTGGATGGTGAGAGGGACTTGGCTTGAGCCAGAGCCAGAAACAAGGCTCTGAGAACATTCTGGAAATCCACAGGAGAAGCCCATTTTCTTACAGCTGGAAGAATTTCATTCAGCTCCAGGCTGACCATGTTTTATTAGGAACCAAGGTGACATGAACTAATAGTCGGGAATGGTTGAATACTGACCCAATGTCAAGTCACTAGACAGTTCTCATTTCCAATGAGCAAATCCCTTAAACAGTTAATTTTTTTCCTTTTGCATAACCCAGACAAGATCGCTACTTAAAAACAACCAAAAAACCTGAAACATGAGAAAGAGGAGGAAGCAGAGGAAATCTTTGATATTAATAGGTTTTCTTTCCTTTTTTTTTTTTTTTGAGACAGAGTTTCACTTTTGTTGCCCAGGCTGGAGTGCAATGGTGTAAGCTTGGCTCACTGCAACCTCTGCCTCCCAGGTTCAAGCTATTCTCCTGCCTCAGCCTCCTGTGTAGTTGGGATTACAGGCATGTGCCATTTAATTTTGTCTAGTTTTGTATTTTTAGTAGAGATGGGGTTTCTCCATGTTGTTCAGGCTGGTCTCGAACTCCCGACATCAGATGATCCACCTACCTCGGTCTCCCAAAGTGCTGGGGGATTACAGGCATGAGCCACTGTGCCTGGCCAATATTAAAAGGTTTTCAATCAATAAGAGCACCAGATATTTTATCCCATCAGACAGAACGTTATTCGACTGACCAAAAAAGGACTTTTTTTCTCTATTTTTCTTGAACTGGAAAACGAATCACATTTTCACAGTCCTGAGGCTGCAATTTTGTGCCTCTAGTAACGTATAAGAATAGATGTGATGCCAGTGCCCAGTAGCTGCTGTAATTGTAACTTTGGGACCTGCTTCTTCACTAAGCACTTCACCCCAGTGGCAAATTCATAGGGGCCTCCTGCCCTTTGGAGCTCCTACCGTGTCCACTACATCAGTGGAAATTCTGGGATTCAGAGCCCTTTGCAAGCTCAGCAGGGGTCTGCTCTTTCTGTCCTATTCCTGGTTTTTGGTTGTGCTTGGATTCCAGGGTACGTTACACAGGTTTCTTATCTGTTGCCTTCACAGACTTCTCCAGAAAAGGATCTTTTGATCATTAGAGGAGCATGAAGATTCCAGTGGCCAGGCACAGAAAGCCTGATCTTTCTGGGTTCTCTGCAGGGCACAGATGAAGGACTGGCCATTCCCGAGTTCTCAGTGGTACCGACTGAGGCATGAGACCCTAACGTTTGCACGAGCTGTTTGAAACTGTGTCTTTGTTTCTACTTACATAAGCACATGAAACCAGTAGTTCTCACATGGCAACATGCATATGGAGGGCTTGTTAAAACAGACTTCTGGGCCCCAACCCAGCGTTTTTAATTCCGCTGGCCTGAGGTGGGCATGACCATTTGCGCTTCTAACAAGTGCTCAGTGCTGCTGCCACCGCGGGTCCCCGGAGCACTCCTGGAGAACTGCCACCTTCAACCACTGACTGTGAGAGTTCACCTGCACCTCAGGATTATGATCTGTCCCTCAGTTTCACAGATAAGGAAACTAAGTCCAGAGAGATTGTTTTGCCAATGATGAACAGCAGGTTAAAGTCAGGATGGAGACTTTAATCCTAGTCAAGTGCCCTTTCCAACATAATTATTTCCCTTTCTTTTTATGCCTCTCAAGTCTAGTTACGCTGTTTTTCACGGATGGGCATATTTATTGTCTTGATCTGGACTGCAAACTTCTCAGGAGGACACCTATGATTTAATTTAGCGTAGTTGAAGAGTTAACGGAAATGGCTTTGGAGACTGATAATGTTGTGAATCCTGGCTTTGCCACTCCCTAGATGGATGACCCTGGGCAAGTTATTCAGCTTCTCCAAGCCTCAGTTCCTTATTGGAAACGTGAGAGCAATTGTGGTAGGCAGAATAATGGCCCCCTCCCCAATCATGCCCACATCCTAATCCTAGGAACCTGTGAATATATTATGTTAGCTGGCAAGGGGAGCTTTAGGCAGCTAACCAGGTGACCTTAAAATAAAGAGATTATCCTGGATGATCTGGGTAGGACCTGATGTAACCAAAAGGGTCTTTTTAATGTGGAAGAAGGAGGCAGAAGAGTAGATGTCAGAGTGATTCAAAATAAGAAAGATTTGATGGGCCATCCCTGACTTTCAGGCTGGAAGGAGGTTCTGGGCCAAGGAATACAGGTGACCTCTAGAAGCCGGAGAAGGCAAGGAAATGGTTTCTCCCCTAGAAGCTCCAGAAGGAGTGCAGCCCTGCTAATATTTTGACTTTATAGCCATATTGAGTTTTCTTTTGGATTTCTGGCCTCCTGAACCTTAATAGAGGCATGTTGTTTAAAGCCACTCAGTTTGTGGCCACTTGTTACAGCGGCAAGAGAAAACTCATACAGTCATCATGTGTACTCACAGAAATATGGTGAGTTAAAAAGAGAGGATGGGTGGAAAACACCCATGAGAGAGTGAGAACTCTCCAGGGAGTGAGGACTATCCCCAGCATACCATGATCACCCTATCAGCAGGCTCACTTTCTGAGCACTAGCTTTTTTGAATTCATCTTGGTGTCTTTAACGCTGCTCAGCCTGGCTTGCAGACCTGGTCTGATTTGTGTATCTGATAGAGAAGTTTCCTTGGTTGAACTCTTCACTCCCACCATTCCCATGACAAACTGGCCACATTGTCTGTCTGCACTGCTCACTCTTCAATTCCAAGAAGCTCATGGGCACCGCCGGGAACAGGAACCCTGCCAAAGAGAATACATCAAGAAACCAAGTCTCCCTGACATGTCACTGTGGGAACAGAGTTAGTGGATTATGAATATGTGTTTGCTTTATGCCATTGTTTGTTCCCCAGGTGGCAGCTGGCTGCCCCATCTTATTGGGTAGATGCAAGTGGAATTACGAATGGGATTTATGCTTCAGGCACGACGGTGATTATTAACTTCAATGTTCAGGTAATTTTCAGACCACATTGCAGTAACCTGTTCTCTGATTGTTTTCCTCCTTGTTTATTTATTCTGCAGCCAGAACTGTGTAGATGCGTACCCCACTTTCCTCGCTGTGCTCTGGACTGCGGGGCTACTTTGCAGCCAAGGTAACTTAAACTTCCCTTTGTTCGTTCTTCTTCTATAAAGTGCATCTCAAGGAGGTTCAAAGGGCAGGCTTTTTGTTGAGAGGACTTTGCCTGACCTCCGGCTCCCAGGCGCATAGCCCTGGAGAGGTGAGAGCCCTCGCAGGCTGTGTTTCAGGCGTGCTCTGTGCCCATGCAGAGCGGGTGTGATAATGCATTGCTAATGCTTGCTCCCTGGTGGCTGGTTGAGAGCTGCTGCGCTGACAAGGCTGGTTTAAGGCTAAGTGTGACTCAGAATCCTTAAGCAGTGTTAGCTCAGATACAAGGGCATTATAAATGAGAGTGCCTGCGGGATCTATTCTGGGACCGCTGTCACTTGGCTCTTCCGCTAATAAGCTTTCAGTGTGGTGGCTCTCCTTCAGGCATGTTTCCACCAAGGCGTGGGCTGGATGCCACATCCCTGGCCTTCCCAGGGTTATCAGCAGCCCACAGTCTTGACTGGAACAAGTTGAAAATACAGATCAACCTCCAGAGTTGATTTAACATGGAATGGAAATCAGTCAGACTTTCTGATCCCCTTTAGGGGCCATGCCTGGCACTGTGCCTGGTGGTGGCTCGGCATGAACTGGCCAGCTTCTGTGGCATGCAAGGCCCAGGCGGAAAGGCCACACTCAGTCCCATGATGAACTGTTTAAGTCTTATTATCATCTCCCCACCTTACAAAGTAGATAGAGTAGATCTTATTTCCTTTATCACCTTTCAGGATACTTTGATTCAGGGGGATGAAGTAACTTGCTTACAGCCACTCAGCTGGTGAGTAACAGGCAGAATCAGTGCCTGCGTCTTGTGGCTTAAAATTCTGGATTTTTCACAGATATCCTCTTACTTTGTTCATTTACATAATAAATATATATTGAAGAGCTACTATGTGCCGAGCCCTGTGCCTGGGTATATACAGTGATAAATAAAAGAGATGGTGGTGAAGCACAGGCCGGCTGGTAAGATGGACCACAGAAGTCAGTGAATGGAGACATTGCCAGGAGTGAGAAGGGCCGTGCGGGCAAAGAATTCAGTTGAGTGAAGGAGAGCAGAGGGGAGGCGCGGCAGCAGAAGCCACTTAAGGGACACCACGTGGCCTCCTTCGGTGCTTAGAAGCCTGTCAGTAAGCTCACCATTTACTTCCTATTTTCTATCCTGAGTTAAATAGGAAACATGTCTTGCATTTACTTGAAAAATCAAGTCAAACTATACCCTTGCTAGGAGTTATGGTTCCTTTTATGTCTTAGATGACACTTGATGAATGTGGACTTGCTCTAGCTAGATAAATACAAAGGGAGTTTGAAGGTGTTTCCTAGCCCTGGAAATATGCGTTTCCTGTCAAAACAAGCTTTGTCATTGCCAGCAGACAAAAGCATCGGTAAGCCTTGGTTGATAATAATTTCTTATGACTATAGTAGATTGTAGAATTTCTTATTTTTATTTTTTTGCAGATAATTCTAGTCCAAATCCCCCACTTTCTAGAGCAGGAGCTCAAGTCCCAGAGGAACAAGTGGCTTGCACAAACCTCAGAATTTTAAGCCTGGATTTGTACCCTCTTGGTGCTCCCAGCAGCCCACTTCCCTACAGGAGGCACTCACCTTCCTTGCAGAGGGGTCTGAGTGTGGCCATTTTCCACCCATAATCTCTGTTAGTTCATGTTCAGTTAAGTTGAAAGAAAAATGGACCAGTATGTTGGAGCAGAGTCATTCAGATGGTTCAACATAGGAAAAACTTTGTCTAAGGCAAATCATGACTGTGACAGTTTTGTGACTTTTAGAGAATAGCATGAAGCTCAAAGCTTCTCTTCTGCTTTGATTTTCTTATCTGCCATATAACAATAGTATTTTGGAAGGCAGGAGGAGTTGTGGAAAGAAATGGGTTTTGGGGAGTGGCTGGTTGGAGGCAAATCCAAGGCCGCTCATTGCTGGTGTATGACTCCAGGCTGTTACTCAGCCTTTCCAAGCCTCAGTTTCCTCACTGTAAAACAGGACCCTGGTCTAGCTAGTAGCATTCCTACAGTGAGTGAATTATATGTATAAACCTCCTGACACAGTGCTTGGCAGATATCAGACTGAGCCATGTAAAACTGCCAATATCTGGCTATTTATGACCTACAACAATAGCATTTCATATGATTCTGCCTAACAACTGAAGCTCAGGAAATGTTATTATTGATAATGCTGGTGGTAGTGATAAAGTTTTGAAATCAGAAAGACCTGGTTTCAAATTTCATCCCTTTACTGGCCTGACTTACTTTCAGTCATCTAACAAATATTATTTGGAAACCCCCATGTGCCAAGCACTGTGGCAGGCTCAGAGATGATTAGGAAAAAGACAAATGTCCTCATGGACCTTTTGGCCTGAGTCTAAATTTCCTCATCTGTCAAATGGTGACAGTAACACACTCCTTACCAGCCAGCTGGGAGGGCTGGAGACCCAAGTTCCCAAAACACCAGGAGCACTGGGGCAGGTGCAGTGGAGAAGTTTTTAAACTGCTTTTCTATCTGTGACTCCAGATAACACTAGTTCCAGCAGAGTTAACACCCAGCTCCCAGCCTTCAGGACTTCACAGAGTTATCGGGGTACTGCTCCTGGCAGTTTCCCAAAAGGCTAGAACGCAGGGAAATCTCCTTTCCTAGAGTTCTTTTCTAAACAGTAGCTACTGGTTCGGGAAAGGTTAAACATTGTCTTGCAGGGAGGCTCAGGGCTGAAGAGTGTGCTTTTAAGAGAACCAGCTTCAGAGCTGGGTTCCGGGTTTAAGTCCTACCCTCTGCCCCCCTTTACCAGCTGACAGCCTTATGCAAGCCTGGTTGACTGCCTGAACCCACGTTTCCACATCTGGAAATAGAAATGTGGGTACTAGTTATGTTGAAAGGATTCATGTTAGATGATGGATATGTAAATACCTTGTAAACTAGGGGTGTCCAATCTTTTGGCTTCCCTGTGCCACACTGGAAGAAGAGTTGCCTTGGGCCATACATAAAATATACTTACAACAGCTGATGAGCTAAAGAAAAAAGTCACAAAAAATATCTCACGATATTTTAGTGGTGGTGGTGGGTTTTGTTTTGGTTTGTTTTCTTTTTTTTTTCTTTGAGATGGAGTCTCGCTGTGTCATCCAGGTTTGAGTGCAAGGGCGAGACCTCGGCTCACTGAAACCTCCATCTCCTGGGTTCAAGAGATTCTCTGTCCTCAGCCTCCTGAGTAGCTGGGACTACAGGCTCCCACCACCACGCCTGGCTAATTTTTGTATTTTCAGTAGAGACACGGTTTCATCATGTTGCTCAGGCTAGTCTCAAACTACTGACCTCGTGATCCTCACGCCTCAGCCTCCCAAAGTGCTGGGATTACAGGCGTGAGCCATCACGCCCTGCCAAAATCTCATCACATTTTTAAGAAAGTTTATGAATTTGTGTTGGGTTGCATTCAAAGCCGCCCTGGGCCACATGTGACCGAGAGCCGCAGGTTGGACAAGTTTGCTGTAAACAGTGCCATGATGTGGGCATCAGGTAATATCAATGTTAGGAAGGTTCTCAGGTTTCCTCTAGCTTTTGGACTCTTTCTGAAGTGCGTGTGTCCTCTGCCGGATTTTGTGACCAATGTTGATTCCCTAACGACCATGCTAAAATTGTGCTAACGGCATGATTTTGTGGCTGCGAAACTGACGCAGGTGTTTTCATTTCTCCACTTAGTTCCCGCTGCCTTTGCTGGACTGATGTACTTGTTTGTGAGGCAAAAGTACTTTGTCGGTTACCTAGGAGAGAGAACGCAGAGGTAGGTAACTGGGCCTGCTAAGAACTGTGGAGCGATTCCTGACTTTCCAGGAAGTGATAATTCAAAACAGTATTTGCCTAGATTCAAGGCTCTGTAGCCTCCCCTTGGTGGGATTGAGAAGGCTGACGAGGACCCCTGATCCTTCTCTCCCTAACCTTTGAAGGCTCTGAAAATACAGCTGGGGGACTTTTCCAGTTCTCTTATTGAGCAATCCTTCTGCATGGTGTTGATTTTTCAAAGCGTACTTTAGTGCTGCTCGATGCACATGCCTTGCAACCCCACACCCTGCACTCCCACCCTGCAGAGTCTGGTGCTAGAATGATATTTTATGTCTGGGCTCCCAGGCCTCCTGGGAGTGAAACATCTCATTGTTCGTCCAGAGAAATGAGAACTAAAGCTTGCACCTTGTGATAAGTTGTCCTGAGGAGCAGATCTTCTAGGAACCAGCAGAAAGAATGTTGGAAAAATAAGATGCAGAAAATTGGCCAGGTGTGGTGGCTCACACCTGTAATCCCAGCACTTTGAGAGGCTGAGGTGGGTGGATAACCTGAATTCAGGAGTTCAAGACCAGCCTGGCCAACATGGTGAAACCCATCTCAACTAAAAAATATACAAATAATTAACCAGGCATGGTGGTATGTCCTATAATCTCAGCTACTCAGGAGATTGAGGAGGAGAATCACTTGAACTCAGGAGGCAGAGGTTGCAGTGAGCCGAGATTGCACCATTGCACACCAGCATGGACAACATGAGCAAAACTCATTTCAAAAAAAGAAGAAGATGCAGAATGCAGACACGAGACCGTGAAACTGACCAGAGTCACCGTTGCATTGTTTATAGACGTTGCCAGACAGCCCCAAAGTAGCACAGTACCTTCCTGACACCTGGATTGGGAAATCTACATTTTAGTAAAATAAATACTGACACAGAAGAAATGCTGGAGTTAGAGTACGCCATCGGTTCCTTAGAGATTGTCATTCCTAATGCACTAGTAGGGGTCCGGGTGCCAGGAATGCGTTCTGCGAGGCTGCTGCCCCAGGTGCCGACCCTGGCCTTCCACACCATTTTCCTTCCGTCTCTATGTTCACAGCTGCTCTGTCTTTTACAATAACACTCTTCTGTAGTGGCTAATGGGCTCTCTGATTAGATAGCATCCTTTAGCAGTGACAAAGTCAGTGACATCCTGGGGAGGTCAGTGGGTGAAAGCGCTGCATCTGGAAAACCTGAGAGCCTGTGAAGCTCAAGGACTTGACGGGGGTTAGACCGAGAGCCGGGCTACAGCTGAGAAGAGAGTGACTGTTCTTCCGGCAGATCCTTCCCTGTGCCATCTCTTTCTTCATTCCTTTCTAGTGGCATTCTTATTTATCCTCTAAATCCGCAATTCCATTATCTCTCCTATTCTTATCAACACTGCCCTAAATGATATTCTTTATTCTCTTTTGCCCTGGAAAACTTCTATCATGGCTTTCCCCTGGTGATTACCTCTTGTTAAGAATGGGGGTGGAATGTCTAGCAATGAAATAAGAGTCTTCTCTTCTACCTGGCTCCCCGTGCAGCCCTATCTTACCCGCCCCCCACCCCCCACCCCCGCGAAGTCCCAGGGATGTGGCTCAGTCACTGCTCCTCTCTTCATCTGTTATCACTTGCTTTAGATCCTGCAGCTGCTTTAAATCCGAGACAATCTGCAGAGCGTCACAAAATGTGTCCACCTACCCACATGTCCTTTTAACTTTAAAGGTTTTACTGATTTCTATTAGGGAACCAACATGTGGCAAAAATAAACATTAAGGCCGGGCGTGGTGGCTCACGCCTATAATCCCAGCACTTTGGGAGGCCGAGGCAGGCAGATCACCTGAGGTCAGGAGTTCGATACCAGCCTGGTCAACATGGTGAAACTCCATAGCTACTAAAAACACAAAAATTCGCCATGCATGGTGGTGCATGCCTGTAATCCCAGCTACTCGGGAGGCTGAGGCAGAAGAATAGCTTGAACTCGGGAGGCGGAGGTTGCAGTGAGCTGAGATGGTGCCACTGCACTCCAGCCTGGAGGACAAGAGGAAGACTCTGTCTCAAAAAAAAAAAAAAAAAAGAAGATTGATTTACAAGAAATCTTTAGAATAGTAGATTTCTTTGGACCTCATTGAAATATAAATGGCCTGACTTACGTCCCTCCCTGGTCTCCTTCTTTAGATGATAAGAAGATCCTCCCAGCCCCATAACCCACCATCTGTGTGGATTCTAGATCCCCTTCTCCTCTCCTGTCGCTGTGATAGGCATTATTGATGAATCATGGTGCTCTTCCTTGCAGAGACCAAACCTGGCCTCAGAATCCTTCTTAACACAGGCACTGCTTAACACAACCGCTCTGAGTGGTTGTCATCAGTAGAAATAATAGATGCTGTAAGAATTGTCTAAACCTAATCTAGACCAAAATATGCCCTGACATAGATGCAAGCCAGAGGGGCTCTATGGTTGGATGCAAGAAGATTTTCAATCCTGCTTCTAGAAGCTACTTGCTGAGATCCTCTTCGGTTGGGCCCACCTCCTCTCCGGGTCCTCTTCCTGTTCCTGGGCTATTGCACACTTGGACTCTGCAGACCTAATGCCCTTGGGACTGGCTTTAGTTCTTTTTTGAGACGGAGTTTCGCTCTTGTTACCCAAGCTGGAGTGCAGTGGCGCGATCTCGGCTCACTGCAACCTCCGCCTCCTGGGTTCAGGCAATTCTCCTGCCTCAGCCTCCCGAGTAGCTGGGATTACATGGCTTTAGTTCTTGACCTCATCTATCAAGGAGACATTGCTTGATTAGATCCTTCCCCTGGAATTTCTCTCTTGGACCCCAGAGGGTCCCTTGCCCCTTTCCAGAAGTTGCTTCAGCCCTGTCTGCTTCAGAAGTTCAGTGCCATCCTTGGTCCAGTGGGTAGGGAAGACATTCCATAATTTATGCCCCAGTCTGAGCTTCTTCCTTCAGGCTTCAGGCTGCCCTGCGAGGATTTTGCAGCTTCCCTTTTTGTGCCCTTTAGAAGTTTCTGGCTCTTATTTTCAGCCCTTCATCCTACTCTCTGACCCCTTCCTCTATCCTGTTTAGTTCACCTGTAGCAGTTACTACCGAGCAGTTAAGGATGAATCTTGGTTTTGTTTCTTTTTTCTTTTCCTTTCTTTTCTTTTTCCTATTCTCTTTTCCCCTTCCCTTCCTTCCCCTCCCTCCCTTCCCCTCCATACCCCTCCCCTCTCTTCCCCTTCCTGCGCCTTGCCTTACCTTACCTTACCTTACTGAGTCTCGCTCTGTTGCCCAGGCTGGAGTGCAGTGGCCTGATCTTGGCTCACTGCAACCTCCACCTCTTCCCAGGTTCAAGTGATTATTGTATCTCAGCCTCCTGAGCACAGGTGTACACCATCATGCCCAGCTAATTTTTTGTATTTTTAGTAGAGATGGGGTTTCGCCATGTTGGCCAGGCTGGTCTTGAACCCCTGAACTCAAACAATCTGCCAGCCTCGGCCTCTCAAAGTGCTGGGATTATAGATACGAGCCACCACAACACCCAACCTGAATCTTGGTTTCTTCCCTGTTTATTTAAGCTATTACCTGGGCCCAAACTCAAGGGTACCGGGCACCAACTGGCAACTGACTCTTGGCCTTTTATCACCTACCTTTCCCAGTGGACACTAGGTTGCTCCCTCTTTCTGTCCCTGAGAGTCCTGGCCCCTGTTGAGGCTCCCACTGATCCTCTGGACAATTCGAAGTTCTCAGCTCAATGGTGAGTGGGCAGTGACTGCCAACTCTTGAGGCCACTCAGGTTACCCCACTCCTCCTTCTCCTTAGTTGCTCACTCACTCCTCATTCGCTCAACATTCATTCAGTAGATATTTGCTACCTGCTCTGTGCCAGGTACCAGGTCAGTTGCTGAAGGAGTAACAGTGAACACGACAGAGGCTTTGCCCCCAGGAGACCCAGGAGCACATTGCAAGACCAACAAGACTCAACTTGCCGAAATTCCTCCTCGTCATTTCTCCTCCTCGCATCTATGTTTTAGAGTCTGTGGGTTCCTCCAAGTGTAGACTTTGGTGTTACTTTGTCAGAGTTTGAGGAGAAACTTTCTCCTCTTGGAAGGCCGGGAAGCACAGATGGATATCAAGGCTGCTGTTTCTAAAAGCAAACCCCACCAGACAACAGTATTAGAATCATCCGTGGTGCTTATTAAAGATACAGATTCCCGGGCCCCGTCCCAGACTCATGAATCAGAATCTCTGCCAGAGGAGGACTGAGAATTTGCATTTTCAGATGATTCTGCATTCTCAGATAACACATTCTTCAGGTGTTTCTTACTCACACTGGAGTTTGGGAATCGCTGAAGGCTGTTCATATCTCTTTGAGAAATGATTCATTCATTTGAGAAACATTTGCAGAGCTCCTGATTTACTGGGGATTTGTGGGTGTGCAGAGGAGAAATATCTTGCCCTCACAAAGCTTACAATTCTTATTTCCTTTAGAAGTCACCAGGTTTAAAGTGACACTTCCCTAAATTCTGAAAAGAACAGAATTTTAAAACCAGAAGGGACCATAATGTTTTCTGTTCCTACCTGGTATTTTGTGCACATTAAGAACCTGGGGTGAGAAGTGGGGGAGCGGTGGTGACTGGCTAGGGCCACAGAGAGCTGAGCTGGGGCTGGGACTCAGGGTGCTGGGTACACGGGTGCCCCCATCTCCCACACTATGGTGCCTCATCCTAGAATGGGTCAGCACCTTTGAGATGGGAATTGTTTAGCAGGACGCTTTTGTGTTTTCATGTAAGTTTTATATTGCCTATGGAGGGCACAGTTGTTTTATAACTAATGACCAAAGCCTGGTCTCGGAAGTCTGAGGGCGTCCTTAGGAAGTCACTGCAGTGAAAGCGCAGGACTCCGGCCTCACACAGGTGGGTCCTACGTTGCTTCTTGCTGGCTGGGGGACCTGAGGCAAATCGTGCACTTCTCCGCTCTGTTTGCCTAGGTGGAAGATAGGTTCGCAATACACCCCCACAGAATGAGAATTAAAGGAAGTCATGGGTATACGGTACCCAGACCCAAAGGATGCTTAATAATTTAATTCTGACCTTCTCACTCATTTAGAATATGTATCAATTTTTAGAAACAATGAAAGATGAATGAGTTGGTTGGTATATATATATATATAAAAAATAGAAACCACGAAAGAGTTGTCTTGCTTGTTCAAGGGCGAATGCCCTGGTGTGCCCTGTCCAGGCCCCCAAGCTCTTCCTTCCCTGCTTACAGCATTTCAGGCCTGAGCCACCTCCAAACTTGAGAGACTTAAAGATGCAGCTAATGGCATGCCCAGCCTGGGGCCACATTCTCCCTGAGCCCTGCAGGCAAGGGAGCAGGAGGCTGAACTCTTATCTTCCACACCTGTGCGTGGCCTAGGAGGAGTTAAAGCACCCTCGTCCTATTCTGCGGGGGCCACGTGCCCCCGAGACCTTGGGAAAAATCCTGCCTGAATTTAACAGCACCACTCTCTCATCAGGAGGCGCTGCCATTTCATTTTTCACTTCGGTTTTATCTTGAGCATAAAACAGCTTCGCAAATCACTTTTTCTTGTTTCTGTAATGAGCATATGGTGGCCTCATCCGTGTGATAAATCTGAGCCACTGTGATATTTGACTTTTCACAATTTAATTTATCTGAACCCTCTATTCTCTGGCTAAAAAATATCCCTTCCTTGGACTCCTTTATTTTATTTTCACTTCCCTTACCAGCACTAGCAGGGGACTCTGTACTCACCTGCCGGGGCTGCCATAACAAAGTACTGCAGCCTGGGGGGGCTCGAACTGCAGAATTTACTCTCTCACAGTCCCAGAGGCTGGAAGTTCAAGATCAAGGCATGGGCAGGGTTGGTTTCTCTTTCAGCCTCTCTCCTTGGTTTGTAGAGGGCTAGCCTCCCCCTGAGCCTTCACATCACCATCCCACTGAGCAGATCTGTGTCCAAATGTCCTCTTCTCAGAAGACCCAGTCATACTGGATGAGGGTCCACCCATATGACTTCATTTTACCTTAATTATCTCTTTACACACCCTGTCTCCAAGTATAGCCTTTCTGAGGAACTGAAGGTTAGAAGTGAACATACGAATTTTGGAAGGAACCCAGTTCAGCCCACAACACCCTCTTTTGGGATGTTTATTTCCCCCGTCAGCCTGACAGCTAACTTTACACTGCTGAGTGCCATTTCCTGCCGTAATCAGAGAGAGTAGCATTTGGCATCCACAGGTTTAATATTAGAAATCTTATCAATTTGAAAGCCAACCCATATGCTCATAATGTAATTCGTAATTTTTCTTTTTCTTTTTTTTTTTGAAACCAAGTCTCGCTCTGTCACCCAGGCTGGAGTGGAGTGGTGCAATCTCACTGCAACCTCTGCCTCCTGCGTTCAAGCGATTCTCCCGCCTCAGCCTCCTGAGTAGCTGGGATTTCAGGCACCTGTCACCACACCTGGCTAATTTTTGTATTTTTAGTAGAGATGCACTCACCATTTTGGCCAGGCTGCTTTCGAACTCCTGGCCTCAGGTGATCGACCTGCCTCAGCCTCCCAAAGTGCTGGGATTACAAGCGAGAGCCACTGCACCTGGCCAACTCATAATTTTTCTACAGCAGGAGTCTGAAAGTCACTCAGCCATTATGTTCCTTGCTACTCAAACTATGGTCCATGGACCAGCAGCATCAGTGCCCACTGAAAGCTTCTCAGAAATGGAAAATCTCAAGTCCCTCTGGAACCTAATGAATCAGAATCTGCATTTTAACAAGCTCCCTGTGGGACACACACACATCTGAAAAGCACTGCCAGATGACACCACTCCTATTCCTTGGGCAGCTTCATTCTCTCCCTGGTTTCCTGATCACAGTCATCTTCATAAGACATTCTAACTAGCTCCTTATGCTGGCTCATCTTGTTGTGTGGTCCTGATTGTCTAAAGGCGCCTTTCTGGGAGCCTTACTAACAACTCTCCTGTGTCATTTGGACGTTCCCAACCTGTTAGCACCACTCAGATGGGCCAGCCACTGCAGCAGTCAGAGGAGGGAGGAAGCAGGGTGGCCTCTGCAAGCCATTAGGAGGTCACATCACTGGGGGATGCTTCCCGATCCCACCCATGATCTGCCGAAGCAGTTTGGGATTTAGTGCCTTGGCAGGAAGGATAGAGTGTTAAAACATGCCTCGGCCAGGCAGGGTGGCTTACGCCTGTAACACTTTGGGAGGCTGAGGCGTATGAATCACTTGAGCCTGAAAGGTGGAGGTTGCAGTGAGCCGAGATTGCACCCCTGCACTCCATCTTGGGCTACAGAGTGAGACTCTGTCTCAAAAACAAACAACAAAAACATCTCTCCCTCCACTCAAAAATGCAAGAGCCTGTCTCCTATTGCTGGGTGCCCAGCTCTCATGAATGTGAATGTGAATTATTCCAGGCAGCCTCGGGAGAATAGAATGCACCCTCAGATGCTGCACCTTCCAGATTCATCGCTTTTATCGGCTCATTTAAACTTCACTTCTAACACAGCCCTGCATGACACACGTGTCTATCCTTAGGCACAGCTGCAGGGAGGGTCTGAATGGTCCAAACGCTCATTGAGAATGCCCGATGATAATAAACCTGCCACCTTCAGGCCATCAAGGAGCTCTGGAGTTAAGGAAATCATGAGAGCACAGAGAGGCGGGTACAGCAGAGCCTCACGCTGATGAGTTTTGAGGTCTAGGCTCTCCTCGCTTGGGTTTGAAATAAGCTCAATGACTAATAATAGCTGAGACACATCCATCCTTCATATGAAGTAAATGGGCAAATGGAGCATTTGTTGAGTGCAAGGAGCTATAATTTAAACCCCATGTATCTAAAAGGGGTAATATTTGTGTGTGTGTGAAATTGGTGGTATTTGTGCTGCATCTACAGTTTTCTTTCTCCTTCTCTTCCAGCACCCCTGGCTACATATTTGGGAAACGCATCATACTCTTCCTGTTCCTCATGTCCCTCGCTGGCATATTCAACTATTACCTCATCTTGTTTTTCGGAAGTGACTTTGAAAACTACATAAAGACGATCACCACCACCATCTCCCCTCTACTTCTCATTCCCTAACTCTGTTGAATACGGGGCTAGTGCTCTCATCTAATCAATACCTACAAGTCATCATAACTCAACTCTTGAAACGATTCTGCTCCTCTTTAGATGGCTGTAAATCTTCTGGCCATCTGGGCTTCACAGCTTGAGTTAACCTTGCTTTTCCGAGAACAAAATGATTTCACATCAGCTGCGCCCCTTGAACATGACTGTGGCCCCAGATTTGCTACTCCCAACCATTCTGTTTGTTTCTTCACTCACCCCATTCTCTGAAGATATTTTGTGACCAGATTTATGTTTTCTTAAAATAAAATGCAGAGACGTGTTTTAAGCTGATGGTTGAGAGTTTTTAATTTTTTTAATGGCTTTTGGGGGATGTATCTTTATACCCACAAACAACTAATTTGCTTTCCTCAAACTATATGATAATATTAAAAATACACATCCTGGCCAGGTGTGCTGGCTCACACCTGTAATCCCAGCACTTTGGGAGGCTGAGGTGGGTAGATCACTTGAGGTCAGGAATTCAAGGCCAGCCTGGCCAACATGGTGAAACCTTCTCTGTACTAAAAATACAAAAATTAGCCAGGTGTATAATCCCAGGCTCCCAAGTAGCCTGTAATCCCAGCTACTTGGGGGGCTGAGGCAGGAGAACTGCTTGAACTTGAGAGGTGGAGGTTGCAGTGAGCCAAGATCATGCCACTGCACTCCATCTTGGGCAACAGAGTGAGACTCCATCTCAAATTTAAAAAATGCACATCTGGCTTCTGGAAAAATTCCTTGAGGATCTTTGGTGACATTCACCCCTCTTCACTCACCCAGGTGGATTAGGTTGGCATCTTCCTATGCTAGCCTCATGCCCAGCACTTCCATGTTATACAGTTCCAAATGTTCTGTAATTCCCTGTGGGAGCCAAACCTATGATGGGAGCCAGGCTCATCATAGGTACCCCCAAATGTTGGTGAACCGATGAATAAGTGAATGAATGAGTTTATGAATCACTGGCTGGCTGTATTTAATGATGTATGTGTGTTGAGCCATTTTCCATAGTGTGGACAGATTTGTCCCACAATATGGGCTCTTCCAAAAGGCCCTACCACCTCTTTTATTTATTTATTTTTTTTGAGACGGAGTCTTGCTCTGTCACCCAGGCTGGAGTGCAGTGGTGTGATCTCGGCTCGCTGTAACCTCTGCCTCCTGGGTTCAAGCGATTCTCCTGCCTCAGCCTCCCAAGTAGCTGGGACTAAAGGCACGTGCCACCATGCCCAGCTAATTTTTTGTACTTTTAGTAGAGACAGAGTTTCACTGTGTTAGCCAGGATGGTCTTGATCTCTTGACGTCATGATCTGCCTGCCTCAGCCTCCCAAAGGGCTGGGATTACAGGTGTGAGCCACTGTGCCCAGCTCATGGCTCAACTTCTTAATGCCATTGCACTGGGGATCCAACTTCAACATGTGAATTTTGGGAGAGTGCAAACACTCAGACCATAGCACCATCTCAGTAAATGTCCCACCAGTCACTCAGTTCATAGTGACGGTGATCCAGCTGCTGTCGTGCCAGGTGCCACTTGGCAGAAAGAGCACAACTTAGAAGATGACAAGGTGTCATCAAGATTCCAGAACCCCCAATAGAGAAGCCAGCTCTTGTATGGGAGCCATTCATCAGGATTGAACTCTCAATCGAGGTGGACAGCAATAGATGGGGTCCCGTTATTCCCCAGGTGAGTGTCATGGCGGTCACAATCCTAGGAAAGATGTGAAACCTCCCCCAACCTTCCCCAGGTTGCCCGCCTGTACAGCAGAGATGATGGAACATAGAGCCTGGCATGGTCTGAGGTCTGAATCCATGTGCTTCATGTTGATGCTCAGGCAAGAGGGTCTCTCAATTCAAGGGAGAGGGCCTGCATGGGCCTTGCTTCTCAGGCCTGTCTGATGGTCCAGGCTGAAGCTCTCCTGGCTTGCACTGCAAAACCTCATCCAGCAGGAGCTCCTTGGTATCCAGCAGGAGCGCCTTGGTATCCAGCAGGAGCGCCTTGGTATCCAGCAGGAGCGCCTTGGTATCCAGCAGGAGCGCCTTGACTGCTTCAGGATGGTTGCTTCTGCTCTGAGTTCTCTCCAGAGAGCAGGGCTCTATCTATTATCCAAGCTGGGCTTTTCTTTTCTTCTTGGTGACAGGGAAGGCATGGCACGTTGCAGGATGGAAGTGGCCCTCAGGCCTCCTCATGCCTGGGCTTGATTTGGAGCGGGGTCAGGTGATCAATAATCCTGATTTGCCTGGCACTGAGGGACTTCCTGGGATGTGGGTCTTTCAGTTTTTTAACAATTATTTTTATTGATGCACATATTTGTAAATATATATGGGGTGCATGTGATATTTTGTTACATGTGTGGGTTGCCTAATGACGAAGTCATAGTATTCAGGTCTTCATCACCTTGATCAGTTAACATTTCTAGGTCTCGGTTCCGGCTAGTTTGAAATCAACAGTCTATCGTTGTTAGCTACAGTCACCCGACCCTGTGGTCAGACACTGGAACTTATTTGTACCATGTATTTGTACCCATTCACCAAACTCTCTCTGGGCTTTCAGTTTTGCCACTGGGATGATCCTGGAAAAAACAAGATAAATCAGTCACCGCACGTGTGAGCTAGGTTATAATATGCCCAGGGGATACTGGGGACCTTTCCGCTTCCAGAGGTCATGCTATCCAAGCTGACCATGCGGCTTCCGGAGGGTGGGGAGAGGAAATGATGCAATGGTCCATCAGAGGCACTGCTTGGTGGGGCCTGGGGCCACGTGTCTGAGGGATTAAGGGGAGGGGAGAGCAGCCTTCACAATTACGAAGAGGAGTCTCAGGTGCACAGCTCCTGATGAGGGGCCCCTCCTCTAATTGAAGGCAGCATTGTGTAATGTCTCCAGAGTCCCTGCTGTATCCCACCCTCCATTCTGTGACTTCTCCCTAAGCCTCGTTTTTTGCATGTGTTACTTTGGGATAACAATAGTGCCAAACTCATGGGGCTGTTGTAAGGAATAATGAGGCAAAGCAACTGAAAATGTTTAGCACAAAATAACTGCTCAATAAAAGCCATTATTTTATTATACTAGTTTTCAATTCCTGCAGAGCAAACTTTTGCAAATGTAGGGACTCAAAACAATATAAATTTATTATCTGACAGTTTTTCTGGGTCAGAGGTCTTACCAGGCTGTAATCAGGGGCAGCCAAAGCTGTGCTCTCAGCTGAGGCTAAGGATTCTTTCCCAAGCGGACTGGTGTTGGCAGAATTCAGTTCTCTGCAGTTGGAAGACTAAAGCCTACGGTCTTCAGTTCCTAGAAGCCTTTTCTCTGGCACAGGTTTCTCTACAACATGGCCATGTATGTATTTTAGGCCAAGAGGAGAGCATGATTAGCATGTGTTTTTTTTTCTTAAGTGACCCTTAGACCCTTTTTTAAAGGCTTATCTGATTAGAACAGGCCCAAGTGGGCTTAAAGTCAACTGATTAGAGACTTTAATTACATCTGCAAAGTCCCTTCATGTTTACCATATAACATAACTTAGTGAAAGGAGTGAAATCACATTCCGGTTCTGCCTGCACTCCAGGCGAGGGGATTCTGCAGGAGTGTGGGTCACGGGGGGTTTATTTTGGGATTCTGCCTACCTTACTGATCTTCCAGTATCTGCAGAGTCAAAAGGAGCTGAATGGATGTGATGCTGAGGTGCCCGGGCAGCAGCAGGGTAGACCGTGGGTGTGTGAGTGAATTCATACTTGTGACCACCTGGGAAGAAAGGAGGCTGTGGTTTCCTCCACCTCCTGGCAGGCAGAGAAATTTCTTAACTGTTTTCTTTTTCTTTTCTTTTGAGACAGGGTCTTGCTCTGTTACTCAGGCTGGAGTGTAGTGGCTTGAGCTCAGCTCACTGGCTTACTGCAGCCTCTGCCTCCCAAGTTCAAGCAATTCTTGTGCCTCAACTACTCAAGTAGCTGGGATTATAGACATGCACCGCCATGCCCAGCTAAGTTCGGTATTTTTAGGAGAGATGGGGTTTCACCACGTTGACCAGTCTGGTCTTGAACTCCTGACCTCAAGTGATCCACCCACCTCAGCCTCCCAAAGTGCTGGGATTACAGGCATGAGCCACCATGAACCATTTTTCTATCCCTTGTGGGAAAGAGCACAGTGAAAGAACAGATGAAATTGAGACACGTAAGAGAACTCCTCCCTCCTTTCCATTTAAACTAAAATAGGATTATTCATACTGAGAATCTCCCTGGTTGCAGAGATAATCTGTACAACTGGGTTTTTACATTTATCCCCTACCCTGTACCTTCCTCCTCTGTCTTCCTCATAGTCAGCTCAGGCTGCTGTAACAAAACACCGTCACTGGGTGGCTTTTAAACAACCAAACTTTACTTCTCACAGTTCTAGAGGCTGGAAATCCAAGATCAAGTTTCCGGCAGATTCAGTGTCTGATGAGGGCCTGCTTTCTAGTTTATAGACAGTGCCTTATTGCTGCTGCCTTATGGTAGGAGAAGACGAGGATCTCCCGGGACGTTTTTTTTTTTTTTTTTAAATAAGGGCACTACCTTCGTCCATTTTGTGTTGCTAAAAGTAACATCTGAGGTTCAGCAATTTATTTTATTTTAAAAAGTGGCCAGGCTCTGAGGCTCATGTCTGCAACCCTAATGCTTTAGGAGGCCAAAGCAGCAGGAATGCTTGGGGCCAGGAGTTCAAGACCAACCTAGGCAAGATAGTGAGACCCCCCCCCATCTCTACTAAAATTTTAAAAAATTAGCTTTGTACTGTGAAGTGTGCTTGTAGTCCCAGCTACTTGGAAGGCTGAGGTGGGAGAATCACTTGAGCCCAGGAGTTCAAGACTGCAGTGAGCTATGATTGAGCCACTGCACTCCAACCTGGGTAACAGAGCAAGACTTTGCCTCTATTAAAAAGAAATTTTTATGTGGCTGGAAAGTTCAAGATTGGGCATCTGCATCTGGTGACAGCCTCGTGTCACTTCTAGGCAAGGTGGAAGACAAAGGGGAGCTGGTGCGTGCAGAGATCACACGGTGAGAGTGAAGCAAGAGAGAGAGGAGAGGTGCTGGGCTCTCTTCATCAAACAGCTCTGGGGAAACGAATAGAGTGAGAACTCACTCACCTCAGAGGGAGGACGTCAATCTATCCATGAGCGACCAGCCTCCAAGACCCAAACACCTCCAGGGAGACCCCACCTCCAACACTGCCACACTAGGGTTAACTTCTACATGAGATTCAGAGGAGGCAAACTTACAAACTATTGAAGGCACAAATACCACTCATGAGGGCTCCACTTTCATGAACTA